AGAGGAAGCAAGCACGAGTCATTTGAAGACACGGCGGATCTGCCCGAATTCTCGGTCGGAGGGGACCGTTGTAATTCCCATCGGCCAGGAGATCAACGTTGTGGGTTATCCCGTGAGTGCGCCGAAGTGTTCGCCGCCATGCCCCATCCAAGTGCCATTGATTGAGGTATTAGTGTGGACCAGACCCTAGTCCAGGCCCGGCCGCTGGACAACGTTGCGAAGCCTGCTAGGCCATTCTGTCCTGGCGCTTCACGGGTGACCAGGGCCTGTTCAGCCGCTGTTGATCGACGTCCGCCCCACGACTCAACCTGAACTGCCTGCAAAGTATGAAGTACTTCGTACCGGTCCCATATTTGCGGGCGTGGTCAGCGAAAATGTCCACTGGAAGGAGTTACATTAGTGTACTTTGGAGGCAGGGATCAGGGAGTGGGTGGGCAATCCTTCCCCCGATGCTACCTGAGATTGGGATTGTCTTTAGATGGGTTTTGGACGCCCGTACCTGCAGGAGCCTCTTAAGCCATCATCGACGAAGTATACGAAGTACAACACTACGAAGGATGATGGTAGCACCTTCATCCACAAACAACATTGTTTACAAAATACGTACTTCGTACTTGTACTGCAACACTTGAGCAGTGTGCATTTAGCCAGGAAGGAGGATCCTATTCTCGAGATGATGTTTTGGTGACTTCAGCTAATTGCACGTGCGGTCCGCCGAATCTGCTCCTTCCTGGCTTCGCCAGTACCTGGAGATGTACTTGGACTCGTGCAAACAAGACCAGAAGGCAGGAGCGAAGGCGTTTTAGAACCATTCATATCTTCTGCTGCTTCATCAAAGTGTCCTCGAAAGTCCGTTCGTTGATACCTCGTTCTACTTGTAATTGGAATGTGTGGGCCGCTTCAGACGACGATTACTCTCATCGCAACCTCACCATATCTTTCATGCATACCCGGACGGACAAGACTCGGCAACCAAGAGACCAAGGAGGCATCGATGTAATAGTGTCTATTACCCCCAGTTTGTTGATCTTACCGAATCAGTAATAGGTATCCGGTCCATTCTCAAAACAGGCCTGCCTCTGTACCAAGTACTTGACAGAAACGCAATATGACAGCCTGCCATTCTCGTTTGACAGGCGATGCCCTGCCAGTCTCGGCAGTTTTCTAGCCGCTGTCGTTTCTCCTAGATTTATTATTTTTCCCTAGTCTCCTGCTCTTTTGCGACGCTTAGCTGAGCCTAGCAACGACGAGATCGTGCGGGCGCGTGGGAAGGGAATGACCAAAGACTCGTGCGTGTGCACGACCTTGAGAGGAGCCACTCGATTTGGGCCATTAATCTTACGCTGCACGTCTTCTGGAGAAATATCCTCCCTCAGGCAGGCTGATATGCACGACGTTCAGGAAAGCAACAGTAGTTACGATAAAGAGGTCACTAGACCCGGACTTGCGCAAGGATCCCCACCCCCTTCACACCGGTTTTCTCCCGATTTTCGTCCCTCCAAACCCCAGAACAGCTCCGAGGCGTCTGCCGGGTCGCCCTCTAGGGTAGCATCTGAACCCTGGTCCCAGAGGACTCCGGGGAACGACGACTCAAGGCATGCCGGCGGGAGACGACCGTTCTTCGGCCCCGTCTTCAACATCGAAACCCAATCAACCTGATGTCCTCGGAAGTATGAAATACGATCTACTTGCGAGGCTAAGGGGAATCGTTCGTACCAGTTGCTCGGACCAAGACCTGAGATCTACTCCAGAAATGAGTCCACACCAAATTGACGTTTGGTTCACGTCAAGCTAAGTAACGAACGTGCCGATCTCTGTACGGGGGCTGTTTAGTTGTGGCGCTCCGATTAACCAGGTCTGTCTGCCTTTCATTCGGCGTCAGTGGAGAGACAGAGCGATAACTGCTACCGGATGCTCTCCATTAAGGGGCGGGATAGATAATACACGATGTATACCCAAACTTATTAGTGACAGCGTTGTGGTTGGTACTCGTGGCCAGGCCCGCAACACCAAGGGTTCAATCGACTTTGCCAGCAGTACTCCATGCTGAGTACACGGCTGCATACGAAGTACTATCGGTTTGGAATGGTCAGCTAGGACGATCTCTTGTACAGGTCATCGACGACTCCTAAACCTCGAGGGGCCAGTCAGTGTCTCCACAAGGGCCGACAATACAAGGGTAACGGCAATGTAACGAACCGGCGAGAGAGGCCCACGACCCTTTGATGTCCAATATTAGCTGAAAAGAGATGGCCGTACATTTGTTCTATCGAGCTGCTTAGGTACGAAGTAGGTCAATGCTTCGGCTCTGCCCCAAGCTGGCCCACAGAGATATCAGGGGCACAAATAACTACGAAGTAATAGTATTCTTTTATGACGTCCAAAACCACTGTCAGAGAAGGGGCCCCATCGGTGACTGCTTGCTTGCAGTGTCAAGGTTGATGATCTTGGTATGGCTGACCGTGCTGCTTTTGTCTCAAGGATAGCCCGCCAACGCGGTCCACTGGAGTTGCCTACGCCCAAGACATGTAGTGTCTTCAAGATTACTCCTCCCAGACGCAAACCCCGATTCTCAGATGGACCAAGATTCGAATTTCGACAGGCCTGGCCAGGCTACCTTTGACTCAGTCGCAGTTCCGTCATCAGCTATCAGCCAGCCCCCGAAAACGACCTGTCACCGACACAAGACACTAGTCTCGTCTCCTTGTGTTCTTTCGGGTCATATCTTCCATCCAAGGCAAGTGATAGGTCTCGATACCCTGAAGTGGAATGGATGAACCGCCGCAACCGGTCTATCTCTGCTATTTACGGGCGGCCAATAGTGTAGGGCCAGATCGAATCGCCACCCCAAGACGTATAGATCTTCAACCCTAATCACTGATTGCTTTTGAGCAAACACTTCATCATCCTACTCATGACCTTCGTAGTCCCCCATTTGCTTTTAGCTTCTCCAACCATGCCTAATCAGGAGGTGACCGAGAGCTTAACTACGCAGCAGCATGCTAACCATGCAAGCGTTTTTCCTCATGCTGATCGCGACCCAGGTTATTCCAGAGCCATGACGCTTCCTCGTGGGTAGTTTCCCATGTGGGAGACACCAATACAGACAGGACCAGATGCTTCTCTTCCACCCCCTCCTTCACCGCACACCTTCAGAAACGCATTGCCGGCATACCAGACACCTTGCCTCCATAGGCGTGTCATCCATCCCAGTGCCTTCCCTCTTTGCCCCAAGAGAAAAGCAGGCGAGCGGATATACTCGACCATATGGATACTCCCTCCTTCGAGGATGAGAGAAAAGAGCCTACTAGTGTAGGGCATTACCCTCCCCCGCACACGGGTACCTATGCCCCCCATCGTGCTGATGAAGACGAGATACACGACCCCAAGGTGGTGAGAAACTTCTAAACTGGACCGCTGCATGTGGGGATCCTTTCCGTACGTCGGGACTGGTTGGTCCTCTCCCAACCCTCCCTTTTCTCTCGATTTCCACATTCATCTTCGTGCCGCTTCATGCAGAAGCAGTGACTGGACGGGAGATGGCCGTTCCCAGTTTCACCGCACACCCCCATTGTCTATCCATCCTTGCGTTGTGCATATAAATATTGGAATGGCGCAGGGCGGTAAGTAGCTAAGATGCTACAAGGAGATCATGAAATTTGAGCTGCACTTCCCTCTTCTGGAGGCAGTGTCTAAAGGGTCCTTCTAGATGAGGGTGGAGGGAGAGAAGGGTGCGTTTGCTTTCTCCAACACTCGAAGTCTATCGTGAGTTTCCAACACGATACCCACCTTGTTTCCATGGTGTACGCGATGAGAGGGCAAAGAACATGAAAGAGTTGGATTCGGCACTTTCAATCCCTCCTTGCTTCCAAAGCTCGTTGCTTATGCCGGAGTCAGTCATCGCCAATCTCCATGTTCCCACCAGTTAACCCCCTCATCCATCCAAAACCTCCCCACCATCCCATGAACAAGACATCTCGTCGAAGTAGGAACCCCTTTGCTAAACTACCAACGGATACGCCCATCCCCTCTTCCCCTAACACACCCCGTTCTATCTCGTCTTTCCTTCCCTGTTTTTCATTCATTTCCGTTTTCCCCGTTGTTAGCACCGAAAGAAGGGTAACACGGAAGCCCCCTTTTTGGTCTTTCACGCGCCGGCGGTTCTAGCCCCCCTTTTAGTGTTGACTCGGTCAAAAAGCGGGTTTCTTCCTTTAATTCTTTCTATTGTTAGCCAAATTTCTTTTTATTATCTTTTTCTCATCCCTTTTCTGGATGGGGCCCCGTTTCTAAGGAGGTAGGTGGAAGCCGTTGATGATGGCGGCTTCTCCAGGACGTTGACTTGTGAGAGGAGTCGCATCGATGCATGTGTGTTATCTTGGTTGGATGGGGGCGTATACAGACATGCTTCACGCAAAGAAAGGGGCGTGCAATGTTCTTCTTACGTTTGTGTCCCTCGTCTGTGGGAAACGGGCCGTCACCATCTCGGAGTTATCCTTGGACACAAAGTCTGTTCCCTCCGTTACTTCACGAGCTTCATTCTAGATGCTGGACAAGTCCAATGTTGAAAAATGAGTTATATCGATTTATATATACGCAACCGGAAAAAAGCTAATCTCATAGAACATCATGGTTTCTTTCAAAGGTATTTTGATCAGTCATGTTGACGGGACTGTCATGCAATCACCCGCCGTCTCCTCCATTCTGTCTTCCTCTTGTTGGAGGACCTGTCCCATCAGTCTTCCCACTCTTCTTCCGCGTCCCCATATTGGACTTTTGCCCATCTCATTTCCGCGGTCTTACCACGGTTAGAAAGCTTTTCTTTTTTTTTTTTTTTGGATCCAAAGAATGCGTGTAACGGCGATACTGGTCGAAATGTCTCCACAAAAGAACGGGGTTTTCCAATCTTTTCCCATGTCCGAAACGGCTTTTCTCGTCATTGGCTTGGTGGTGTTGAATCATTCTATGACCCACTTTGGCATAATATCCGAGAGGAAGATCCTTTAAAGCTTCGAAGCAGGCTGGGCGGTGCCAACGGTCGTAATCTCGTCATAAAGGAGGCTGAACGTTATGTCAGTCAACGGTTTTCTTCGTTGGCCCCAGCGGGCGCCAGAAGCTTCTACATCTGCAAGAAAAAGAAATGGGGGGATGGGGCGTGGGGTTTCAACTTACGTCGTCAAGAAGTCGGCGTAATCCTCACCGGTGACCTGGCCGGCGAAGTACTGGGCGGCAAGGCGGAACTTGTTACCCTTGGGGGCCTTAGCGGCAAGCGCGTCGGCGCTCTCGGAGAGAAGCTTGAGGGCGTAGGCCTTGTCAACCTTCTTGCCCTCGGCGGTGGTAACGCCGTGGCGGACCCACTGCCAAAGCTGGCTGCGGGAGACCTCGGCGGTGGCGGCATCCTCCCTGTTGATGGCGGTGTTAGAGACATGACATACCGAGATGTCGTGATATACAGGATGGCCCGGACACACACACACGCGAGCCTGCGGGAAGCTATCTGAGGATAAGGGAGGCAACTTACATGAGGTAGTTGATGGGCACGCAACCGACACCGCGGATCCAGGCCTCCATGTAGCCGAGGCCGATGTTGAGGTTCTTGCGGATTCCATCCTCGGTGATCCTGCCGGGGACGTTCATGTTGAGGAGATCGTTGGCGGTGATGTGGACATCCTCACGGCGGATGAAGAGCTGGTTGGGGGTAGGCATGTACTTGTTGAAGACCTCGGAAGCAATGCTGGCGAGAGCGGGGTGGGCAACCCAGGTTCTACCAGGAAAGTTAGTCGTCATCTTCCCTCTATTCAAAGCGTTGCTCAGAGAGAAAGAAATAAAGCTTACCCGTCGTGGCCGGCGCGGACCTCACGGAGCTTGTCGGCACGGACGCCCTCCATAGCCTTGTCGTTGGCAGCCTTGTCATCCTTGATGGGAATCTGAGCAGCCATACCACCCATGGCGTGGACACCACGCTTGTGGCAGGTCTGGATGAGGAGTTTGACCTATAGGAATCCATGTCAGTATACCGATCTCGCAAAAACGTTTTCCCACGCATTTGCTCATCATCAACGAGACTTCCAAGGTTCTACCTACGTAGGCATCCATGAAGGGGACGGTCATGGTGACCGAGGCACGGTCGGGAAGGACGAAGTTGGAGTTCTGCCTGAACTTCTTGATGACGCTGAAGATGTAGTCCCAACGACCGCAGTTGAGACCGGAAGAGTGATCCCTGAGCTCATAGATGATCTCGTCCATCTCGAAGGCGGCAGCGATGGTCTCGATGAGGACGGTGGCACGGACGGTACCGCGGGCCATGCCGATGTAGTCCTGAGCCAAGTTGATGGCGTCGTTCCAGAGGCGGGCTTCGAGATGGGACTCCATCTTGGGGAGGTAGAAGTAAGGACCGAAACCCCTCTTCACGGTCTCGAAGGCATTGTGGAAGAAGTAGAGACCGAAGTCGAAGAGAGAAGCGGACATGGGCTCGCCATCGACAGTGACGTGCTTCTCAAGAAGGTGCCACCCACGGGGGCGGACGATGAGGGTGGGGAGAGTGCGGTCGCTGCGGAGCTTGTATTCCTTGGGGCCCTGCTTGAAGTCAATCTGGCGACGGTTGGCGTCGTACAAGTTGACCTGACCGTTGAGCATGTTCTCCCAGGTGGGAGCGCTGGAGTCTGTGAGAGTGGGGAGTTAGCCGAGGTGACCATCACACCCTCTTACCGCAAACTGCCGGTTCGTTGACCTGCAGCATCCATTCTCTCAAACTCCCCTCTCTTTCTGGCGGGGGAGGGGCAGCTCTGAAGAAGGAGAAGACGCAGGCAATTACCCCAGATCTTCCACCAAGAAATAGCAATAAAGATCAGAAAAGGAAATGAATAAATAAATAAATAATACAAACCCTCGAAATCAGCCATGTAAGTCCAAACATCAGAGTTCAAGGCATTGATGACCATCTTCCTGTCCGTGGGACCAGTGATCTCAACTCGGCGGTCAACGAGACCGGGGGCGGGAGGGGCGGCCTTCCAGGTGGGATCATCACGGATGTGCTTGGTCTCAGGAAGGAAGTCGAGGAGGGCGCCCCTGTCGAGGTCAGCCTGGCGGATCTTGCGGCGCTCGAGGAGCTCCTTGCGGCGGCCGTTGAAGGAGCGCTGGAGGAGGGCGAGGAAGGCGAGGGCCTGGGGAGTGAGGATCTCGCGCTGGTGGTGCTGGACGGCACCGAGGACGTTGACGCCCTGGAGGATGGATTCGGTAGAGGCCATTGTGAATGTGAGGAGAAAGGAGGATGGATGGAGGGGTATCAAATCACACGATAGCTATCGTAGATAAGTTCCGGCGAGATTGTCTGCCGCTGGATCAAGTCGTGATTGACAACAGACGTCGACCTTGGGGAGTATCACAGAGTGGTCGAGAGAAGCACAAGTACAACAATTGGTGTTGTCAATGGGGGAAAAGAGGGTAAAGGGAAAGGAAGAGAAAATCAAAAGTCAGGTTGTGGTGGAGAATAAAAGTCAGAAGCAAAGCTTCGGGTGTGCTCTGATAAAGGATAAGCGAGGTATCGTACAGTTATGAACACAGACTCTCCAAGAGGCAAAGAGACACAAAAGTGGCGGGGCAGTGTTTCCCTCGTTCGGTACTCGCTTCAGATGGGCCTAGCTGGAAAGAGTCATAGCAAGATATCCGCAAAAAAAGCTCCATTATCGAGTTAAGCTCGGCATGTTCGATGGTTCTGGGCTCTCGGGGCGTGTCACAGCTAGTGAGTGTGGTGTAGCTCGCTTCATCGACCTTCTTGCTTCCTCGGCGCTCTTGCAGGGTGCCATCGAGGTACTTTGCTCCGATACGGATCTGGACCGAACTGGAGCCATCGTCCATTCATCGATACGTCCTTGGAGGGCAAAGAAGATAAAGGCGAGCTTCTCATTCGCTGGCTCTCCGGCTGTGTGGTGAAAAGTGCACGAAGTACTTCTATCGCCCGCCCACAATGCGATAGGTACCGGGCGGTATCTGGTTATCCGTTTGCCTCCATGTTCCTAGGCTCGAGGTCTCAAGCTCGGCCAAGTCTCCCTTAGCGCCTCGCCCCGTTTGACGCAGCGGGCTGGGCTGGATTCGCGGAGACAATGTTACAATGCGACGCGATCATTGGAAGATTGGCCACCAGGGAGGGGAATCAACTTGATGGATCGAGAAGCGGCTCCGAAGAGCCGGAGCTAAGACTACTTCGTGGGAGTCATTCGGTATAGGCACGGAGATAGTCGGATTAGAGGAGGAGAAAATTGGTTCGGTGATGTCCATGATTTACAGACTACATCAATTGATACACATCATACATTGATACCTATGTCATTAGCAAAGGGGGCCTAGGCTCGACGGAGGAGGGGAAGGAACTAATGGCACATAAAAAAAAAATCTGGGGTCAGACCGGTGCAATGCGGACTTGGTGGGTGGCGGGGTGTTGTGTTTGGGGTGTGCGCGGTTAGAAACGTGGAAGGAGCGCGGTCAGCCAAGTCATGAATTGATCTAGATCTAAAGCTGGGAACAGAAGTCGCTATTTGGGGAATCAGGAAATCGGCCAAGTAAACTACGAGGTGCACTTGCCGCATGAGAGCCGGGCTTTTCTTTTTTTGGCTTGTGATGTTGGTCGTACATTCCAAGATAATGCCAAGTACGGGAACAGTTACTTAACGCTGACATGTGCAAAGCTGTTCCCCCTGCATGTACCCTCGAAGCCCGCCGCCCACCGCCGAGGAACTTCAATTGTTCGGCCGTAGCTCACGAGAAATACCGACCGGCAGACGCCGGCTTGTCACGGCAGCTTCAACAATACAAATTCTACGTCCTGTGCTGCTTCAAAAATGCTCCTCGCTGCTTCCTCTACGAAGGAATTGATGCACGAAGCAGATCCATCTTCTCTCCACCGGTTGCCTTCGTCTCAGAGCCACCATATTTCCGCCCACAAACGTTCTCGAGGTACTCTCATCAACTCCGCCGGCCCGAAACCGGACCGGAAGTTCCTCGTGCTCGTGGTGACGTCCCAAGCAAGCCCCATCCCAAAATGATGCGTCATGTCATTAGGAAACCTTCCCCATGCCCGACCGAGCAGGGATGGGATTGTTCCCCGCTGCATCACCGACCACCACGCACAAACCACCAGAAGGATTGATGCAAGAGAGCTTCAAAATCGGTGACTCCCACAAGCAACAAGCAGCATTTTTACGAAACTAAAGACCTCGAGTCCGCTCAGAATACACCTACCCAGCTTGTATAAGCTCTGGTGTTCTATCTAGTAAATTCTGCGTCATCTTCTTTCTCTTTTCTGCTATTGGGGTACTGGAAGCTCCGATGCCCCGAGAGGGACCTTGCCCCAGGCCCGACGAAAGAACCTTAAGCCTCGGCTCCACGGCGACGTCACGGGGAGGCACCTCCAAAAGTCAAAAATCACTTGTCCGATTTAACCACCCCAAAGTAGTCAAGTACTCTATTGTAACAGGTCGACCATGTTTGTACACATTGCGCATCATCTGAGCCGAGATTTTCCGATGAGACGACCAGTTTCGTTCGCAGGTTTGTCTTTGATGGCGTCATGAACTCGAGCACCGTTTATTACTTGCGAATTGCCCGTCACATCGAGACGTGAAACTGAGACCCCAAGCCGTGAATGTGACTCTGGAGACTGGTGGAGACTGTCACACCTGGCGCTTGACACTTGGCGACTGCAACTTGACACTTGGCAGTGTTGAAGGTGGCTTGCGTGCACGAGACAAAGGTGCAAGTGAGGAGAACAAAGTATTATTGTGAACTACACCTCGTTCCAATTCTGCCCCCAACTCCTAATAATAATAATAATGTGAAAACAGACCCTTTTCGAGGGAAACATTGCTCCCGCAGTGGCGTGCGAGGTAGGGACAAAAGATAGCACTTTCTGGCATTGGTGATCGAGATCGCCAAACACAAAAAATTGCCATGCCTCCCCAGGCACTTCTCGAAATGCCCTGATCGCGGGAGGCTCCCGGGTCTAATAATACTGAAAATGCCACTTCATTCGCCATTTTGGTTTTCCTTTTTCCTTTTCTCCACCTGCTGTCGTGGGTATCATACAAAACTTCATCATCCCTATCTCGTTGAGTCATCCCATGAAGGAGTAAACCAAACGTAGCGTAATCCCAACCAGAAATCATCGTCAAAAGTAACCAGAACAAACAGAAATCCTGTGGGTCCAATGTGCCTGTCTCAAACTCCAAGTTGGGAGGAGGTCCAAGAAGGAAACCAGGCATGTAAAGACAAGAGAGTCATCGAAAAGTAAGAAGGGGACTGTGTCGGATAGAAAGAGTAAGAATGTGTGTGTGCATCCACCCCTCTCAAGAGAGGAGGAGTATAAGACCGGACCAGGGTCGGTCATCAACTTCGTTGGCCAAGTCTCACCGTTCCGTTCTCAATAACGTTTGGCGAATCGTCGCCATAGCCGTGGGGCAGAGATATTGCGCCCACCACATCAAAGCCTCGTGCTTTGGCTTCGTCCACGCCCGCAACTCCTTTACGAGTTGAGCGTCTGAATCAATCTCTTCTCCAGTTGCTTATTCTTAAGGATGACATCTTTACCCTCAAGAACCCCACGGGTCGTACGGAGAACTTCGCGGAGGCTGCTCGCGGCGCCTCGCTCCTGCGTAAATCGGATAATGCAGAGAGGCGTCGGGTTTCCATCCTCCCAGGCCTGGATAAACTCAATTGCAATGGAGGCCTCTCGTAGTCGGAGATCTGGCAGTTCCACAGCATTAGTTAATGCCAGCAAACATCCCCGATACCATGTCAATGGACAATGGAGTAAACGGGAAACAGAAGAGAGAGGGGAAGCCTCGAACTTACAGTTCTTGCGGTTAATTCGAGCAAAGACAATGCTTCGGTCTTCATGGATCTCCAAATCCTCTACTCCGTACTTCGCCCAGTCTTGGAGGACGCTCACGGCCTCATTTCGCGCCTCAATGTAGGAGATGGTAACGCACAGGTATTCAACTACGGGTTTGACCCGGAAAATGCGAGCCAGCCAACTGGGCTGCACCTCGATGTTTCGCTGTCCAGGAGCATCGCCTGGATGGCCGTTATTGACAGCCACTTCGTAGCGGCCGCACTCGGCACCTTCATCCTTGCCCCTGGGCTCGAAGAGTGGCTCCTCGTTTTCATGATCGAAGCCTATCAGATACAGTAAACGTTAGTCTCTTTACCATTCTCAACGTTCCTTGGAATGGACAAATGGACAATCCATCGAATGGACCAGATGAAGCAATCAAGGGTTCGGGGTATTGATGAAAGATCGTGGAATTACTTACCACGAGATCTCTTCAGCTTAGGTCTGGGCATGGGTAGCTTCCAGAATTTGAAACCAAAGTTCCTCTTGTTCTTCCTAGCAAGAATCGATCTCCGCCGTCCGCCAGGAGAGGCCGCTTCCGGCTTTTGATCCTGCTGGGAACAAGAACGGCCAGCTGGCTGGATGGTTCCAGACTCAGAAGTCTTTGGCGGGGGCGTCGGGGCCAGCGTGTCGGCATCGCCAGAGTTAGAACTCACATCTAAGCCGGCAAACCATCCGTGCAGCTCCGTATCATTATGGGACTCCTCATCAACCCAATCAGACGGATGCGTTTGGGAATCACCCCTGGTGGTCCAGTTGGCAGTCGTAGGGGGGGCCATGTCTAGATTTGTCAGTGTCTCAGCAGAATCCAGCCTACTTTGTGACTGGGATGCAACACGGGCTCGAAAGCTGCTAGCGTCGGCACTATGCTGCCTGAAGGGGTTGGCCTTAGGAGTAGCGATGACCACTCGGATGGTGTTGTCGGCACGGGACAGGTAATCAAGGCCCCGGTCTTCTGCGTTCGTCAAGTCTGGATTGTCTGACCTCGTGAGTCGGGGACGACCGCCATTCTCGGGGCCCATCGGAATGAGGGCGCTTCTGTGACGCTTCGCCGGACCACTGAAGTTTCGTGAGGCTCGGGCTTTGCCCATAGCTGGACGATGAGGATCGGAGGTGACAGGAGAGTCAATCGGCTCACTCAGGACGGGCATAGATCGTCGAGTAATGCGGCCCACCACCATGCCCTGGCGGGCACGGTTCTCGCCTTGAGAAGAAGTTCTGTTCGGTACGATAGGCGGACCCTCAGTAACCGGCGAAGGCGTGGAAGTCTTGCTACTCGGAGGCAATGGAGGCAGCGGTCGGTCGAGCCACGGAGTATCCGGGTTGGACGGCGTCGACTTGTTAGACATGTATCGGCTCCCGAGACTCGCCGCAAGAGGTGTCGAGTTCCGGGAAGGGCCGGCAACGTCCAAGAAGGAAGACTCCACAAGAACGGAACCGCCAAATGCTTCATCGCAGTCCATGGCCAGCTTGTGGCTGACCCTGCGAACCTCCTCGTTCGTCATCACCTCCCGATCTGTCAAAATAGGAACTGGCTTTCGCTTCACGACTCGGAGAGGCGGCCAGCCCTCATCGGCGGGGAGGACGTCGGAATCCGGTCGTGGAGTGCCTGAATCGTCACTTTCTTGGTAGAGGGATCGCCGCTTGTGAGATTGAGCCTCGATCTCTGCCTTATTCTTCTTCTGGGCCGGGCGACCTCTGAGCTGCGAGAAATCGACGCCACGCTTCCGTCGAATCGGGACACACCGAGAATACGGAGCTTTCTTCGGGCTCGGGGTGGTAGAAGCGCTACTCAACTTTTCGTCGATTCGACCCAAGCCGTGAAATCCCCGCCACGTCGGGTGGTCGACCGGATTCGGCGAATTCGATCTCGTCGAAGGATAGAATGGGCTTGAGACGCCAGACAAAAGGCTGTCATCACCTTCGGGCTGGCTAGCCTCGGGGCGGTGGACTGTAACCCTGGCCCGACTAATCTGAGAGGGGCGCCTCTCAAGTGGAGAGTGACACGCGTTGAATGGGTCATACGTTGCCACAGTTCCTGCGTCCGTATCGGCGACGCTGGAAACAACGGTGATGCGGGACACACTTCTGCTAAGCCCATCCCCCTCGTTGATGAATTCGCGTGTAGTCCTCTTCTCTTTCCATGCCGAAGGCCTCAGATGGTGGTAGTCACTTCGAGCGTGTGCGATGTCGGGGTCAAAATCTTCTAGCTGCCGCTCCCGATACTGTTGAAGGAGGTGGTAGAAGACCTTTTGGTCATTGGGCCTGGCTTTGATGTTAGTTGTCTGCCCACTCGAGCCCGAGTCTGCCATCGGATATCTACAAAGAAAAACGGAAGAAAAACGAAAACGTACTCATCACTTGACAGAGCGACCTTCAACTCCTCAGTCGTAAATGAATGCCATAGTGACCGCAACTGACGCACGAGCTCGATGTCGATCTCGCTCGGCGGGATGGCCTTGCCTTCAAAATTCTTCCGGTATTGGAAGGGCAGTCCGTTTTCCTCGGTGAGGTCATCAACGATATGGTATTTGTTAACCAGGGGATGGCGCCACATCGACTCGATGGAGATTCGCTTGTTCGGATTGTTCTGCAGAATCCTCGCGATGAGATCCTTCGCATGGTGTGAAATGAAGCTCGGGAAAACGAAATCTCCTACTTTGATTTTTTGCAGGAGGACTTCCGTGTCGTCATCAGCAAAAGGCAGCAGGCCTGAGAGAATGGCATATAGGATGACACCCATACTCCAAATGTCGACCTTGTAGCCACTATAGAGCTGGCCAGTGAGAACTTCGGGGGCGGCGTAATGGGGGCTGCCACAACAAGTGGAGAGCTGATGTCCGGCGGTCTGATGCAATGCCGCCATTCCAAAGTCGGCAATCTTGATGTGGCCGTCAGAACTAAGGAGAATGTTTTCGGGTTTCAGGTCCCGGTGGCAGATTTTCAGGTCGTGGCAATACGACATGGCGCTCATGATCTGGCGGAAAACACGCACACCGTTGACTTCTGCGAAGGGCCCATTGAGTGTGATGTAGTGATATAGATCGCCATTGTCGATATACTCGAGGACGAGATAACTGAGCTACGAATTAGCAGTGAAGCGGCGACGTGAATAGGGGTGTTTTAAACTTACATTTGACTGCCATTCTCCCAAATATCGTACAGTTTAGTGATGTTTGGGTGCTGGATGAGCTTCAGCATGGCGACTTCGCGTTCAATCGAGATGGGAATACGCCTTCGTCCCTCGGCGCCGTCAGGCAAACTGCTGTCTTGCTGATCAAAGTTGATTATGCTAGCCGCCTGGATGAGCCTTGCTGAATGCTTGGGGAGAATCTTGACGGCAGCTAATTGGCGTGTGACACGATGACGGCAGAGCTTAACACTGCCCGTGGCCCCCTTGCCTAAGTGATCGCCCAGAACCCATGGGCCGATGCGGCTTTTGATTTTCTCGGGGTGGGCAGAGATGGGCTCTTCGTGATCACGAAAATTGAGAGGACCAGCACGCTGCTTCGAGTGGAAGAAGATCCTGCCCACTCTCTCCTGCTTCGGTCCAGGGCTTTCAGGAGAGCCATCGGCCGGCGGCGGGTCCTCGCTACGACTTTCACGATGACTTTGACCATGACTTTCTTCATGGCCTTCGCCGTGACTTTCATCAACAGCTTCAAGCTCTTCAAAGGCTCTTTCGCCCTCATGAGCGAGTTGGTCGTCCAAGCGCTCAAGACCAGGTCTGCGAAGCCGGGCATCAGGGGGATAGAGGACTCTTCGACTCAACATCTCCTCCCAATTGACTTCGTAAGGGGAAGACATCGTTAGAATAGGATTGAGAAATAACCCATGTGCATACGCTGGCAATGGAAGGCCGGCAGTATCTGCAGGGTCGATGATGGTAAAGGAACAGACAGGCTCCCGAAATATCTGGAGTCTAATGGGGACGATGGGATTTCCGAAGTGTGTGGAAGAAGGACAAAGGACTCGAAATTCAGGACTAGGGCTGGTTTATTTGGTCAAGGACCTAGGGTACTCGAACCCTCGAGTCCGAGTCACCCAAGATTATCTAAAAGCCTATTGTAATGTCAGCGGAGCGATGGAGATGATGATGCGATATATGAACAGGTGGTGTGTGACTTACTCTTTCGTTCTATAGACGGGAAGCTTTGTGCTCTTGCCCCAATGGACGCAGGTTTCAGAGTGAAGAAAGCTCTAGATGGATGAGATTCTATGTGCACAAGCTCCCAGTATTCTATCTCGTTATAAGCCCAAAATAAAAAGGTTGAAACTAGACGTCCTATCTTTGGATAGGAAGCTGGATTTGATACAGTGAACAAGGGACAAAGGGTAAGTATTGAGAGAACAATGGTGCTGCCCATTTACAATTTGTGATAGAAGGAAGAGAAGAAAGAAAGGTAATGGAACTGTGAACAAGAAAACTCGCATGAACGCAAACGCAAACATAACATGAGGACACACACAAGGGGATGAAGACTCAAGGTAGGCACTCTACAGAACCTCTAGCCTTCTCTTTGGCTAGCTCCCTCTATGTGGTGAACCTGGAAGGTGAAAGGGGGGACTGGGATGAGGGAAGCACCTTCTCAAAGCCAGATATCAGAAGAGCACCAAGATTTCAACAAGGCTAGCTAAGACTCCATGAATAATGTATGTGTCCTTCTAATTGTATTTAGTGTATTAGGAAAAGCACTTCTCGTAGATCGGATTTAAGTACCTGGTGCAGGATATCTGAAGTGCATGCCTAGCTCAAACATCTTGGATTCTTGCATGCCTATCTGTCTCTGAGAGTTTGGGAGTGTCAATGCTGAAGTTCAATCCATAACTGCCAGGAGCCAAGGCACCGGATCATACTGATGAGTGACATGATGTATGATATGCAGAGATCGAGGGACCGTCCGGCTTGTCTTGGCGTGGGGGATGTCCATTTTGTCCGAGTTTTGCGGGTCCCGTCTTATGGCCGGGAAGGCTCTGAATGGACGGGAAGCTGGGCATATTAGTGGATGTCGACTATGAGTCTATGGGGTATTCGGAACGCCTCTCAGCTCTAGGAATCCTGAGCGGCAGAGGCATCTTTTCTGGGCCCGGGCACCAGACGAGAGATGTAGTTAAAATAACGACTCTAATTACCCCGGGCACCGAGGGTGGAAAGCTTATTAAAGCCTCTCCGGAGAGTTCGAGATGAGCTGTCATGATCCCAGAAGGAAGGTAAGACGACGGCCACAAGGCGTCTCGCATTATGGGCCCAGAGGGCCTGCCTCGGATCGCGCCGAGAGGGATTCATGTAGAGAAGGCGTAAGATCCTGAAGCACAGCATATGGCATAAGAGTACTTCCCGGGTCTTTTTTGGTCTCGGAACCCGGGCGATTCCCTCTAGTTTAAGTTGGTTGTCTCATTCCCAAACAGGGGTGACGTTGACGTCCATTACGAAGGATGTCGTTGCTTCTCCAAGTTTAGTCACGTGTTGGCATGTTGGCAGGGGATGGCCTTGAACGCCTGTCCCACCTTGAGCCTATTTTTAGCTTCTACCGCTCGTGTCAATGTCCTCTCATCCCAACCCACGTCTCTCCCGCTCATCGGTTCTCCCCATCCTCTTCAAGCTCAATTTCGAAACTATGCATCCATGCCGGTACAGCTCTTCGGAGTATTCTTGGTTTGTTGAAATGGATTTTTGACGCGACTATGGGGATGCACGATTGGATGAGGACGCTGTTCATACCTCGATGCGGAGCGCCTAGGCAAGAGCCCCCAACTTGGAGCACATTGTAGCAAGATACCACTCTCTTTGGAGGAGATCCTTTGCAGATGGAACCCCGATCCAAGCTCTCTATAACGCTCTTGGGCATCTCCGCAGCCGCCGTGGCGTCTAGATCGAGGCATGCTGTCCGATTCCGAATCTAACAGTCCTCGGCCGTAGTCTTAACCGCAAGGGCCTCACTCGGCCATAACCTAGTTTTACATGTAGCAGCTATAATAAACTATAGAATTTATTATGCGCCAGTAACGTTGGTCTAGGGGCCTCATCTCTGCTTGAGAATTAATAGTTAAGCAGGTCAGTCTTTTGTGATTGGCACATGATTTTAAGAATTTGAGGGTCCTTGCCACAAATATATAAAGGCCTAGGCCACTTTGGCTCCTGATATTTCTTCATGCTTTCCTTTCATCTATCAAGCTCGTGTAGGATCTGTTCTTTTCTCATGACCTATGATGATGCCCAGAAAACTTGCCCGCAGGGCATGGGAGGGGGGAAGCAGATCCAAGTGGCTTCTGCTTCAAAACTCAACCGGCTTTATACAAATCTGAGGTCGATTTTCCTCCATTCTACCGTATTATTCTCTTTCTTTTGCCTCTCTCACATTCACCTTTCCACATTTTGCTTTCCCTGGTCTGTTTCTATCGGCTCTATATGCCTCGAGCACTGAAGATTATGCTCGGACAAATCAAATCAAAGAGAGGGAGCTAGTGATGGAGGTACCACGACGCTGGATTGGAATAAGGCAGACAGGAGTCATTACGAGTTGTACACAAATTGGAACAATTGGACGGGCATTGAACCTTTTCGTTCATCTAAGAAACTATGTCAAAATATGGGAAGATAGTCAAAACACCTAGACCATAGGAAAACGATGCAACGCGTGGGATTATCATTGAAGCTTGCTGAGCGAAGGGTCGGTAGGTATAGCGGACAGATCCGTGTGTCGAACGCCGTGGAGGGGACGGAGACGGAGTCGGATCAAGGCCTGAAGATGTTATGTTTCGGGGTCGCTGCTGCCAAAACTGGCACTCGATCTCAAGCAAGCTGTTGAGCCATAGAGGGAAAGTATGCGGTGACTAAGCGGGTCCATTGTGTGGGGACGTGCTCGAGCGACCCCAACTGTTTGACAACTGGCTCTGCAGCTGCCCCACCCAACAGGCTCTTAATTCTTTCATGGTTTTGGTGGCTTGTCGCGTCAAACAAAATGGTTATCGCGTTCCCGTGGCTCCATTCATCAATCTCCTCAACCCCTCGGATAGTGCAAAGGTAGCGCCGCCGACAAAGCATATTTGCGAACTCCACCTCATTCGAATTCCTCTCTAATTACTTTCGACCGTACTTTCTACTGCTTGACCTGCGTCGCCGAAGCCCGCCCGATGTCTCGTGTATCACGCGGGAAACGCCCCGCCGCCTCCGTCTCTGGTGACGAGTCGGAGCCTGGTTCTCACACCGCCAGCGATTATGACTCCGAGTCATCCAGACGTTCTCGACCTCGTCCAAGGAGAGGCGGAGACGGACCTAGCAACGGTATTAAGTCAGAGAACCATGGCTTCGCTAGTTCGAGTGGAACGATGTTGAACGGCAATTTGGCCGCCCATGACGATGACAAGTTCAAGCCCGGTTCGGTTGTTCGAGTGCTGGTAAACAATTTTTGCGCATATACAAAGGCCGAGTTTTTTCCTGGACCGTATCTGAACATGGTGATCGGACCCAACGGAACCGGAAAGAGCACATTGGTAAACGCCATATGTCTCGGGCTGGGATATTCGCCGAAGCTCCTCAACCGTGCTGACGTCGTGAGCGAGTTCGTCAAGCATGGAAAGTCCACAGCCTTCGTCGAGATAGAGCTGAAGAAGCTTCCGCGGGACAGGGAAAACTACATAATCAAACTCAGAATCAAGCGAGAAAACAACTCTCAAAAGTTCTGGCTGAATGGAAGGGAGGCTCCTCAAAAGAAGATCCAGACCCTCGTCCGAAACCTTAATATCCAAGTCGACAACCTCTGCCAGTTCCTTCCTCAGGATCGGGTTGCTGCGTTTGCAGGTTTAGGGGAGGTACAACTTCTTGACGAGATGCTCCGAGCAGCCGCGCCACAAAATGTCATCAACTGGCACCTACGACTCAAAGAGCTCTACAAAGATCAGGCAGAGATCCAAAAACAAGTCAGAGCCGATACCGAAAGGCTCGAAGGTCTTCAAAACGCCCAGCGAAACATGCAAGCCGACGTAGATAGGGTCAAGGACCGCGAAGCTGCTCAGCGTAGGGTCGAACTCCTTCGTGCCGCACTCATTGCAACTCAATACACCGAAGCAGCGGAAAGGTTTCGCGATGCGAAGGGTGAAAGGGAGAGGGCCACTGCCCGGGTACAGCAACTGGAGGAGGAAAATGAACCTTCGCTACAGGCTGTCACGGAGCGCGAAATGTACCGGGATCAGGTTGCCGCTGCTGTTGAGTCTCGCAAGGGAGCTCTGCGTAATGCCGAGCGGGCAGCGGATAGACTCCTAGATGGTGTCCGCCAAGCCGAGGACGAGGTTGCGAAGCACGAAGCAGCAATCACAGCCCAGGTAGATAATCACAGGAAGAAGAAGGCTGTTGTTGGCGAGATACGAAGAAAAATCAACCAGCTCGAGGCCCAGCAAAAGAGCGAACTACCCAAGTTCGATTCTGCCGAATGGAACATGAAGATTGTAAGTCTAGAGCTGCTGATGCTGATCATGTTTGAGGTATGCCTCACGTTACTTCGAAGCTCGACTGACAACTACAAACAGCGAGAACAAGAACATAAAGCGAGAGATCTCCAAAGCCAACTGAACGACCTTAACTCCAAGGTCACCAGCATCACTAAGGACATGGTCGACAAAAAGACCCAAGCCCAAGGGCTAAAACACCAGCTCGAAGCTCTCGGAACTCGGCAAGGCAAACAGCTATCGGCACTGAGAGCCATCGACGCCGATGCCCTGAGAGCCTACGAATGGCTCCAGCAGCATGCTGATGAGTTTGAGAAGGAGGTCTTCGGACCGCCACTACTTACTTGTTCGGTGAAAGACGACAAGTACTCTGATCATATACAGGCCATGCTTCAGAAGCGGGACCTCGTTTGCTTCACCGCGCAGACCAGAGCAGACCACGCAAAGCTTAGTAGGCAGTTCATCAAAGAGATGGGGTTGTCGGTTTCTCTGCGCACGTTCACGGGGTCCCTCGAGGAATTCAAGCCAATGGTGAAAGCCAAAGACCTGGGCTTCGATGGGTTCGCCATTGAGTTTATGGATGGACCACCTCTCCTGCTGGCTCAATTCTGCGCCACCAGCGGTCTGCATAAAGCCGGCATCTCCCTTGACGAGCTGAGCGAGGGGCAGTACGAACGGCTCAACGCCCAAGACTACGTTAGTTCATGGGCGGCAGGTAGAACTTTGTATAAGAAGATGCATCGCAGGGAGTACGGCGATGCGGGAAAGTCGACCTCTACCAAAGATATCAGGCCCGCTACATTTTGGAAGGATCAGCCCGTCGATTCGACGGAGGCAGAGGAGCTTAGGAGGAAGCAAGGCGAACTTCGGCTTCAGTTCTCTGAGCTAACCGACCAAAGGGAGACGCTGAAGGGGGAAATTGATGGCATCTTGAAGGAGCTGGAGGAGGCGAGGTCGAAGCTGGTAAGGACGATGTCCCCTTTCCATATAGGTCTGTCCACTGACAGCCTGTTTTTAGGATCAACTGAAAGAAGAGAAAGGCGCTCTCCAGGCCCAGTACACGCGGTGGAAAGGAATACCTCTCAGGATCGGTAAGTCACCCCTTTTCCAATTACTTTCCATCCAGCATGGCATTGGCGAATCGTAAGCTAATATCTTTTGGTAGAAACCGAGCAGAAGAATCTGGAAAGGGCCATAGCAGAAATGCGAGAGACGAAAGCGGAAGCTAACCGCCTCATCGAGGCCCGCATTGACGCAGCAGCCCAATTCCTCCGAGCGGCCCTCGCGCATAGCGAGGCGATCGAAGCCGTCCGCACGGCACACAGAGACTGGATCGACGCATCCATCTGCCTGATCGAGGCCAAGTCTGATGTTACTGGCCTTCAAGAGAGGTCCAGGGCGATCATCGAGCTGTGCGAGGCCGAGCGGAGGAACCTGGAGGCTGCTCGGGTTCTCGAGAGGGAGAGCAAAGCAGAGGCTCGGCGACTCAGGGACCTAATCCCGCAGCTCCAAGAACAATTCGGCCAAGAGTTTACGGAACTCGCCGAGAACAAGACCTCCAGCGACGTCGAGGACGAGATCGCCGCCGAGGAGGAGAGGCTCGGGATGATTTCGGACGTGCCACAGAATACCCTCCAGAAATACGATCAGATCGTTGCCTCCATCACCAAGCTGGAGAAGCAAGTTGAGCTCGGCCGCGGGAAGATTGAGCTGCTAGGATCGGAGATTGATGACTTGCGGCGGAGGTGGGAGCCGAGGGTCGACGAGCTCGTGGAGAAGGTCACAGAGGCGTTTGGTTACAACTTTCAGCAGATTGGTTGTGCTGGTGAGGTGAGGCTTCACAAGGACGAGGACTTTGAGAAGTGGGCTTTGCACGTCATGGTCAGCTACAGGTACGATTGCCCCCTACGTGGTTTCCCCCCTCTATCTACACGGACGAATCACTAACACCTTCTCTTTTGTCAACTACAGGCCACAAGAGGGACTCATCCGCCTTACCGCTACACGCCAATCCGGCGGCGAACGCACCGTAGCAACAGCCTTCTTCCTCCTCGCGCTCCAAGGCAGCGCGCAGGCGCCATTCCGAGTAGTCGATGAGATCAACCAAGGCATGGACCCCCGCAACGAACGCATGGTCCACAACCGCATGGTCGAGATTGCCTGCCGCGAGCACAACAGCCAGTACTTCCTCGTCACGCCCAAGCTCCTGACGGGGCTCCGGTACGACGAGGGCATGACGGTGCTGTGCGTCGCGAGCGGTACACATATGCCGGAGGAGACGGAGAGGCTGAATCTTGCGGAGTGTCTTGCTCTTCAGAAGCGGGTTATGGCTTCGGCTGCTGCTTAGGAATGGGAGACGAGCTTTGGTGAGGTTGGAATCCGTTAAGCCCCCGCGTGGTTAAGAGGGGTGTGTGTAGGTTTTTCGCGGAACCTTGTTTTTGTTTCTGTCACCTTATGAACGAATTACGAGGCTAGTTTACGGACGGGCGTCTCGGAACATTGGGGTAAAGAGGGAGGGTGGGGATCTTTCCATCTTGAACGTAATGGGCAAGTATGCCACGGGTTTCCTTGGCCACTGAGATAGGCTTCTTTTTTTTTTTTTCTCTATCTGTCTGTGTGTATATGTCTTTATACGGGGAAGAGCGGCTATGGCATTTTGAGATCTCATGAAAAGAAGAATTGACGAATCATATGATGCTGTTTTACCACTTGATGCTCGGCATGTGGGAGGCGAGAACGGATAAGTTTGGCGTAGTTAAAACAGAGCGTGGGGTGTTGAGACAAGCGACATTCATCGGACGGATTTCCTGTGCAAGAGTGAGCGAACTCGAGGTCAGTCTGATGGCAACCTCGAACAGTCTTTCCGAGCCTACTTGAAGCGTTGATGCACGCGGCTCTGGCGGCCGATATACCGGCGTCCGGCGCAGCCATCTACATATCTCCTCTATGTTTAAACCTACTCGAAGCCGAAAACGATGGCGCAATGTTTTGGGGTTCTAAAGATTTGTTCGATGAAAGGTACAGGCTACGCAGGTGGCCAAGTAAAGTAAAAAGAGAGGCATTATCAACACCGAGCCGATTCGGTCATTTGCTAGATCGAGCACGAAATATATCACTCTCACAATCCTTCGTATTTCTGTTTTCCAAGATCTGTCTACCGAGAAAGGGCGGCTGGGCAATAGTCGGGCCGTCCGTGTTTAACTTGGTTGTCCTTGGTCCGCTGAGAGCCAAGCAAGGTTCAGTTCCGCTGGTTCACGAGTTCGAGGCTACCAGAGAGGACAGGAGAGAGAAGCTTGTTTGTATCCCCATATCTCTTGGCATCCATCTATAGCTTAAGAGCTATAGCTATACTTCGGGTTATAAGACGGGACGGGAGCTTTTTGCCCTTTCCGATATTAACAAGGTTAAATGGGTGAGATGGGAGAGGTATATCAGTCCGTCTTATGACGAGGGACTCTTCCAAGGCTTTTCGATGGCTCATAGAACCAATCGATTCATGAGATGCTCCTTCTCCCCGCCCCGGCATGTTCCATTGCCTCTTCCCGCATCTCTACACTTCGACTCAGCACATGAAATGACGTCGAACTAAGTCCAAGTGTACTGATGCTGGGAAAAGACGTGCTTCGGACGGTCTCTTCACAGCCAGCGTCTTTGTGCCGGGTCCGTAGACGGCAATCTTGCCGGGATTCCGCCATCGGCGGAGGTACGATTTAGTTTTAATGTTTCTAACTCCCGAAGGCATGAGAAAACCTAAGATAGGCCCTGCAGCTCAAATAGACTCCTTCGGAGGGCCCTGTTGTTCGTTCGTTCCGCGTACACCTGATCTGTCCTTCCTCTCGACTTGTTACACGCCCACTGAGCCAAGTCTAGATATATCCGTATTCAATAATAAGTTTTTTTCTCTTCTTCTTTTTGTTAACTAAAAAACAGGGCATATAAGTTTGAATAGTTCCAGGGCACAGGCTCCTTTCCTCGTACACCATTGACGCTCCAGAGATAGGCAGAAGCAGAGACACAGATAGCCGAACTTCTTTAAGGCCAAGACACGACTTTCGCTTCGCCAGTCCTGTTTCTCCATGTCCCTCTCTTGCCGAGATCCCATCTAATATTGTCACTTTGTTTCGCGCCTTCTCTTCTTTAATTGCAAATATTGTGATTGCAGCGCCGGGATTCTCAGCAGCGATGATCGTTTACCAATACAAGTACACCGGGTCTGTGATGCCACTAACTGGTCGACGAAGTGAGGCTGCGCCAGACCAAGTCTGGAGCTTCAACTTGCTTGCTTTATTCTAGGGTTTAATACGAGTACGAAATACCCAATAAATCTTCATGTCCTTCGTACTTCGAAGTACTTCTTCTGCTCTCTGTTTATTAGTTCGTCGTTGGTGTTCAAGCGGCATGAACGAAGTACGAAATACGACGACGTCGTCTTTAGCTTTATTAGGTCCCTGCAGAGTTTAAAAGCCGGAATTCCTCTCCTTGTTGATCTCCATCAAAGCACGCTCCGTCCTTATCGAATAAGAGGTGGCAGTGTTTCCCAGCGTTTCCCATTCGACATATGGGGATGGAAAACACAAGGGAGAATAAAAAGCAATGGACTCGGTGAAGAAAGGAGATTATGATATTACCCTCCAGCTCCAAGTCGCTAGATTGATGGCCCTCATCATAGGTGCCAAAACGACGAAGCAATATTGCCGTATTATCACCTGCTTCTTTGTTCCTCCTTCTTGACCTTCCAAATTCAATTTTTTCTTCTTTTTTTCCCATGAAGGAGTATAAGAAGGCGGGGGGAATCCTAGTCTCGTCCAATTGTCCAATTATCTCGCCGCAGACCACGTCCTTCCAAGAGAAATCGATGCCATTGATGCGTTGGCTAGTTTCTCCATTGACGAGCACACCTCCATTTCTAGCCTACCACATCCAGCCAAGTTGGCAGTGACGTGTAGGAGGTCGACATGGGCGCACGTTACCCATGCCCTACAGGGCCATGGCCTACCTGTGTGCACACTCTCTCCGTCTCTCAAAATTTTCCTCTTTTTTTCGGCTTCCCCTCTCCCCATTGATGCCTGGCGTTCCAGGATTGCTTGCCGCTGGTGATGCAGCGATGGGGGGCTAAAGCGCTTGGCAGCTGAGGCTGATGCCCAGACACAGTGCTTCGTACTTCGTAGAGTGCTTGGAATACCCAGATTAAACGAAATGCCCCGTCCATTGATCTTCAGGTACTTCACGCCCCCTTGATAGTGTAATTGTATTAAAATATTTTAACATGGAGTTGGCTCTAATCTCCTGCATATCCCTCATGAGCCGAGAATGCAATCGACAACAGCAGAGCGCGGCCATCTCTGTGACGGGTCGGATTTAAGTCGGTCTGGAAACTCAGGCTGGAGGACGCTCACTACGTTGGAGCAGAAGTTATCCCACCTCTTCTTCGCAACCAGTCGACAAGCGATACCAAAAAACCACGGATTGGTTCATTGATGGGGTTGACGACAGGTTTAATGATGAAGAAAAGAGCATACCCCATAATAGGACGCACCCCGACTTCGTATCAAGGTTATCTTGCTGAAGCATCTCGATGGGTTATTAGCGCCATCGAGGGGAAATGGTAGCACCAACGCCAAGGCGTAGATGGCGGCAAGTGGCGTTCAGCCCCTTCCGGGGAGGCGTTGTTGACTTGTTGTGATATGCGAGGGCGAAGATGAGGATGGACAGCACCCGCAGGGGAAAATGTTATCGGAGCCACCAAACGGACTCTTCTCCGGAAGACCTGCTTTCATGAGCAGGAAAAGAACCCCCGAGTAAATTGCCGTCTGGCTCGACGACGTCTGCGGCCTGGCTGGACATGCCTATTTGCACAAGATCAATTGATATCAATATTGTTGTTGCTACTTCGTAGATTCCACAGAGTCTCTTTCGAAGCTCGGCAGCTTCGGGGTCTTCAAAAGTTCGTCTGGGTCCGATTCTACGTGGCTGACAAGACATGGAGAGACATAATGTTGGAAGTCCACCATTGATAAATTGGATAGACTTGAGATGGCTTGAAGATGGAGCATCGGGCGAAGGCCGATGAAAAGAATAGTGTCCTGGTGATCATTGCTTTTTACAATCACTGAGATGGGCCGAGTCTGGTCTGCGCCGAACAGTAGCACCGTTTCCCGTCTCTATCTAATCTCTTCCCAAGCCTACGGAATATGAAGCAAGCTCTAGAGCCCCGAAAACTTACCCAGTTCGTTCCACGAGGCCCGAGGAACACACAATATGCATTTTATCTGGTTCTCAGGCAATCGCACAAGGCTGTACCTCGTACAGAGTTTTCCATGTACTCTAGGCTCTAGGCTCCTGTTGCCGATTACGAAGTAAAGAATAGTTACACAGTTTTCGCGGGACCCTTAAGCTCGGAATCGCAGACGTTGAATGGTCGAATGGTCGAATACGATTATACGATTGTGCTCCGAATCTACTTCGTACCGAGTTCGATTAGACAGTGGATCGAGATGCAACGAAGCGCAGCATGTTCAACATTGAGAATTCCTGGGTCTTACCTTCATCGGCTGTGCTCACTACATCTGCATGGTATATCAGTGTTTATCAATGTTTCGGAACCAAATTGATTGATATCACGTTTAGATCGAGCAAGGCGGGTATTTTCTTTTCTTTGGTCTTGTTGGTAGGAGGCCGCCTTGTACTGGTACTTCTAAGTTAGCCGCAACACGACCAAGTCAGTAAGAAACTTGACTCGGGAACCCTCATCAATCAATTTGGGCGCCGACTTTGGTAGGAAATTGATGGGTGGAGAGTCTAGGACACAGTTGAGGGATGAGGGACGAAGACCCAGCAAGAGTGTGTGAGCAATTGAGTGCTTACTGCTTAGTGCTGAGGTACCATCAATGCAGACAGCCTCAGGAACAGGAACTGAGCCAGGAACATGAACCTTAGGGAAGAGCAACGGCATCAACTAACAGGAACAAGAACAGGAACGGGAACAGGGAACGCCAAAAGTTAAGTTTAATAGCGCGCATGGAGATCAATTGATAACCTTAGCAATTCATGATCAAGCATTTGGATCCAGCGCCTAAATGCTAGCGGCCCGAAGTTGATACTTCCACTCCTACGAAGTACTATTTCCTCCTCTTCACTATTTCCCGACCAACATTACCCCGTTTGTTTGTCCTTGGTCCTTCGTACTTCGTAAGCAGCTGAAAAAAAAGAGGGGGAGAGAGGATCGATCGAATCGACGGATCTTGCGTTCGTTCCTGACTGGCGTAGCATCAACTGCGTCATCATCCAAGAATTTTTTGTTCCTTTGCAGTGGCTGTGCAGCTCCCCCCTTACCTTCATTACGCCTCG